GGAGCAATGCATTTAAGAAGCAGCCCTAGCTATTTATAATAAAAGGTTAAATAAGGGGTAATTAAAGGCCGCTATAATAAAAGCAAGGTAAAAGGGTAAGGAAAAATATTATAAATAATTAATTTAAAGTATAATAAACCGCATATTAAATATTACCTATTTATTAAAAGTAAAATAATTAGTTTAAGAAAAAGTATTTAAAGAAAGAAACTTTAAAATAAGGAATTATTATATAAAATAGCGGCTATAACTAAATAAAAAGTAATAAGTTAAAGCATTTAAGCTAAAATAAATTAGCTTTTAAAAGGTTATTACAAGAATATTATGCATTATATATATAATAATTAACTTAAGCCTTAAAATAATAAGTTAAAAGGTTTATATTAAAAACTTAAAGCTATATTAAATAAGCTTAAAGAGATTTATAAGTATAAAGCTTAATTAGCTAAATTAATTAATAAGGATGGAAAAAGTTAATAAGTCTTAAGAAAGGAAAGCTAAAGATATTAACTTAAGATTAATTATTATTTAAGGCAAAGAGGTATAACATATAGTTAATAAAAGCTATGTAAATAAGGTAAGCAAAAAGGAAATATATTAAGATTAAGCTGGGAGAATATGCATGGAAAGCATATATTTAAGAATTAAAATCGCTAAGCTAATTTAAAAGCAAAAGTAGTATTAATCAAGGTACTTAAAGGCAATATTTATAACCTATTAATATTATTTATAACTATAATAAATATATCATCCTAAGTTTAGCATTATACATTTAATAATATAATATATTAACCTATAAAGCAAAACCGCGTATTTATAACTAAGAAATTAATATAATTAATATAAAAATATAAATAATTCATCCTATATAAGCAGTTAGCTTAAATTACAACCCCCCCTTTTTTTTATTTAATTAATTAAAGATATAAGAACCTTTATTAAAAGGGCAAAAAATATAATGGTAAATTAAAATGAAATACCTCCAAAGTACCATATTAAAGCAAGCTTAAGGAAATAAGCGGTGCTTTGCCTTTTAAAGGCCTTTTTTTCCCAAAATATAATAATTATAAATAATACTTTTAAGCAAGCACTTTATGCAGTTTATGCTATTTAAAATGCAATTATTAATAATAAAACCTTAAAAAGATACCTAATTATTAAAAAGTAAGGTAGAATAATTCCGGCTATTATTATTTATATATATATTAAGAGGGCTAATTAAAATGCAAATCTAATTTATTAAAGCAATACTATATTATTTTTTAAAGTAAACTAAATATATAATGCATTAACATTATTAAGCTGTAACTTAAAATACTAAACCTTAAAATTTAAGGTAATGTACTTTAATTAGCTAAGCATAATATTAAGTATTATTAATAAAATTTAAATTTTTAAGGAAATAAAGCTAAAAATAATGGTTTAATTAGCATTTAATAATAAAAGGAATCGCGGATATTAAAGAGGTATAAGGCCTGGATAAGGTATAATAGCATGCCTATAAGTCTTAAGGATAATTAAGGATTAAATTATTAAGATTAAAAAATATATAATAAAAATATAATTAAAATAAAGGGATATTTAAGAAAATAAATTATTAAGATAAGTAAGGGCAGAATTTAAGCAGCTCTTAAGTTAAATTGCTTAATAAGCTTACTATATTTAAGGAAAGCATACCTTAAAATAGCAATAAGCGCAGCTATTAAGCAATACTGCAAGAAAGGAGCCCTAGAATAAGGTTTTCAATACTTAAACGCCTTGGCGTTAAATAAACAAAGTAAATCAAATAACCCTGCAAACCTTATTACAACTATTTTAAAACTAAGAAAGCTAATCCTAAATTAAGCTTTACCTTTATATGCTAACTAAGCAAAGTTAAAGATTAAATAATATAATTAAAAGCATATATAAGCGTTAATAATATACTATAAGAAAATTAAGTTTGCCGTTTATAATAAACCTAAATTAAATGCAATTTATATTATTATAAACTAGCTAATATTTAAAATAATAGCTTTTATATCTTAAATCTTTTAACCTTGCTAAATGGATAATTGCAAAGATAATAAGAAGAAAACGCTTAATCCTTTATTATTTTACTTATAACCTTAATAATAAAGATATATAAGCAAACCTATTTAATAAATACATTTATGCACAATATATATTCATAATTAAATAAATGCCAGCGGAATTAAACTAAACTATGCATACTTATATTATCATGCTCTTAAATATAATTGCATTTTATATATAGCTGCTAATGCAGCCTATTTAACGCATTATCAACTTATAAAGAAATAAAGGGCTATAAGCAAAGCAATTAATCCCTTCCCACTTTCTTTATATTATGCTGCTAGGTATATTAACTTAAGCAAATCCATATCTTTAAGCATTAATGCAAAATGCAATTAATAATTAAGATATGGCCTACCTCTTAAACAATAAGTTGGTATTAATAGTAAATAAACGCAATAACCTAATAATTAGTTAATAAATAATTGTAAAAAACGCTTTCCCTATAAAAGTTATAATAAAATGCTTTATTAATAACTTAAGTTGCCTTATTAATAATTAAGCATTAATTAGCTAGCATATAACTAGCTAAATAAAGAAATAAGTAATTTTAATAATTTTAGGTAAGCATTTAAACCCTAACCAATAACTTGCAAGCTAAGCGTAAGGAGCGGTTATTTAATGCAGCTTTAGGAATAAATATCTTTAAATTAATAATATTATAGTAAAAATAAATGCCTTATAATTATATAGTAAATTAAAATGCATAAAAGCATTAATAAACTTTATTAGCTTAATAAATACTTTTATAAATATTAATATCTTAAACTATTAGCAATTTATTAAAGGCAAGATAAACTTATATTATAATTAAGCAATTAATAACTTAGCGATATAAAGAATTTTACAAAGCCATTTACTATATAAGGTAAATAAAGCAAATTAACTAGTTAAAAAGGCTTTGCAAGTACTTATCTTAATAGCTATTAATATATAATCTTATTTAAGGTAAATTATTAATCCTTACATCTATAGGCAAGCATTGTAATAAATATATAATTATATAATAACCTTAAATATAACAACTTTACATTATATTTACTTTAAGCATAATAATTATAAGAAAATTAATAAATACCTTAAATTAATTATTATGTTAGCTATTTAATAAATAATGAAAAAGGATTAAATAATAAATATAATTAACCTTATTTAAAAATAAATAAAAGATATTATTATTATATAAATTAACTTATAAAGGCTTAATAGCATAATAATTTAATAATAATTAAGAATTCTATATATAAAAAGGATGCAGCAAGTTTATAAGATATATAATTAGCTATAAAAATAAAAGGTATATTAACTTGTAGAGTTGTAGCTATTGCTAAAAAGGGAAAGCGTAATATTATATAACTTAATATCCCTTATTTAAAATATATTATTTTAAAGAAGCAAAGCATTTTAAAAAATAAACGCCTTATCACTACCTTTTTAATTTAAGCAGCTAATCATGCCTTTAAGAAATTAAGCGCTTAATATCTTAAATAAGGAATTCTTTATTATAAGTATTTATATTAAAACCCTACCCTTACTATATAATAAAAATACTTGATTACTATTAGCATATATTTTACCTTAATTAAGAGCATTAATTTACCTATATATACTTAACTATATCTTTAATACTAAATTACCTATATTAAAAGGAATAAGGACTTAATTATAGCTTATTAATAATTAACATGCAGCATTATGCAATCCATTTTAATCCCCTATTAATATATTAATGTTAAATATGCTTATTTCTTAGCTTATATTAAGATTAAGCTAATATATAAGCAACCTTATATTATAAATATTAATTAAGGAATAGCTATTAATGCAACTTAATTAATACTTAACTTAAGATAAGCTCTTAACTTAGCTTAAATATTACTTATAATTAAATAATTATATTTTAATAATAAGCATAATTTATATTGTGCTTTAAGTTAATATATTAAAGCATAAGGATAAGAATAAGCGTAAAGTTAATATATTATAAATAAATATAAATAAAAATATAAATTAAGGTATAAGGCTACCTTAAATTAAGCGCTTAAATTAATTATAATAAATAAATAAGTAAAGTTAAGAGTTTATACTTTATATAAAAAGTTTATATATATATTTACCTTTCTTTAACTTATTATTAAAGCCTAAAGGCTTCTCGCTATGCTAAGTTATTATAAAGCACCTTTTAAAATAAGAGTTAATTATTTAAGGTGGTATAAATAAAAATAATTATTATATTATTAAAAATCCATTACTTATATAATAAATATATTAATCTTTAATTACCATAAGCTATTAATAATTTAATATCCTAAACTAAAAAGTATATATTTTAATTATATATATAATAATATTTTAATAACGGCCTTTAAAGATAACCTTAGGGTTTTGGTTATAATTAAAAATAAGTATTCTATAAGGTGATTCATGCTTTTACTAAGTAGATAAACTCCTCCTCTGGGATAAGTAGTTAGCTTAGACTTAGAAAATATAACCACGCCCCCAGTAATCAAAGACTACTCCGGGAGAAACGGTCCCCCATCCGGGTGATTGCCCATTATGTTTCAACACCTGCTCCTGCCTGAACCCTCCCCCCCCCACCCCCGCACCCAATCCCAATAGAAAAAGAAAATACCCAGAGAATAGAAAGAACTGCGGTGACTTACACATTGGGTGGTGGCACTCACGTCCTGGTTTACTGAGTGCCATCAGCGGCTAAAACCATGTCTTGTTCATATGGTAGCTCGAAAGCTCACCGTGGCAGTGATGCTCATGAGACCGACTTGAGACTCGGAGTAATTGATTACAACCACCAACTGATGGTATTTATGCAGCAATATTCTTCACCATTTGGATGTTCAGGCTCCTATACCAACCATCCTTCGCTCCAGGGTTTTTCGAATAACATAAGACCCTTTTCATGCCCCTCAACGGTTGGCCTCGTGCTCACCAACCGGAACATGCATGCCATGTTTACCTTGGTACTGTGAAGTCTCAGCCGGTTTCCATCCCCCACTGCTAAGCAAGCTCTCATCAGCCAGCTTGAAAACCTCAACCTTTAGAGGTCGACAGCACTTGATCATTTCTTTCTCGCTATCACTGCCGAAGCCCCAAAGCGAAAGGTCACCGCCAGGGCAAGTACCTGCGACCCGGATGAATTAGCATAGTCATGCCGAAGTACACCAGAAAAACCACTCACTCAACGCCATAAGTACGTCCTGCTCAGCCAGGAACTCAATATGATCCCCCGCCTCAGCCGGGCAAGGGTTCATGAAATACCTCCCCTTCTCGTCCAGCCCCGTGACCTGGAACAGGTTTATGACATCGTGGACGTCACCCTCATTCAGCCCGTACGGCACGATCGCCCGCGTCAGGTTGGAGTGGCAGTGGAAGTCGTACGTCTGGCCCGAGAGCACCGTGTTGATGTAAGGGTCGCACCGCGTGCCGAGCAGGTCGTGCACGCGGCCCCCGTGCTCGTCCTCGCCGTACCAGGATAGGCTGTCCGCGATGATGGTCACCAGGGGACGCATGTACGGCAGGCACGACCACAGCCTGTCGTGCGTCGTCACGTGGGAGGCGTGCAGCTGCTTGGTCCGGCTGGCCCAGAACCGCTCGCGTGGGTTGTGCGCGTTCCATATGTTGAGGTCGCCTGGGTGGCAAAGGCCGTCAGCGAGATACTCGATGAATCAAGAACTGGTGCAAGGGGCCCCAGGCAGGTTTTCCGCAGCTAACACATGGACAAGGATGTAGACTTACCAACTTGAGGGCCCTCGGGTGTGCTGATCCGGACGATCGAGCCGGCGGGGGCTTTCCACGCCCTCCCAGATCGAATTGGGAGGACGAACTCCTCGGTGAGGACCCGGGGAGCCCTCTGAACAGCCTCATACAAGTCTTTCGGCACCGTCAGCGGCGAGCCCGCTGAGGGCAGGTATGCCGGCACCGGCTTTGGCACCGGCTTCCGGGATCGGAGGCGCTCGGCGGCGGTTTGAGCGTTCACATCCATCTTCTCAAGGATTCAGGGGGCTGAAATGAGAGGATAAGACGGCTGATCTTGGATCAATCGGTACCGTAAAAAGGATATCTTTTTACACGAAATCCGGGAAGTTAAGTATTGGGGAAGTGAGGATCCGCATGCGAGCCGGCTCTGGCCGCTCGGCTTGGCGTAGATAAGATCGGAGTGAAGCTCCGTCAAAGCTCCGTCAAATCACGTAGTCACGGCAAGTCTGTTTAGTCTGTCTTGCTGCTTCTGGGCTTGCCGATCCACTCTCCGCCCATCATGGGCGCAGGTGATTGCCTCTGCCAACGAAGGCGAGTACTGAGGTAGTGTTAAGCTGCTGTGTTTAGTGGACAATTGAGCGTTCCCAGTTTGATGAAGATAACTGTGAAGCTCTCTTTGCTGGTCTAATATTTCAGACCCAACACTATTTGTGCTTCTCTCGTGCTCGTGCTGATTGTTAAAATCAAAGTATTTGACAAATGTAGCCTTTGCATTTTTCAGAGAGTTTCTAATCTCATCGATAGAAGAAAGCCACGTGCTATAACAGTCCAATCCCAGCTGAAGTAGTGTTCCAAACACACTTTCTCTGCGAAACCCGTCCTGTCTTGCTACCAACGATTGAATTGCTATGCTATTCGTCTAGAATAGTCTGTGAACGGAAAAAATGACACTGCCACACTGCCAGGCCGAACTCGAAATTCGAAAGCTGATTGGCCAAGCAACGTGACATTGCAGGCACCAATTAGCCAAAGAAATCATGCTAACACTGGCTATCAGCCGATACCTCCTCTACTATTAGTAGTTAGCTGACTATGCTGCATCAGGTAGTGGAATAACAGGCGGTTACTGAGGAATTGCCATCAGTGGTTGCTGTAGCATCTGATGGCAGTGTCAGGACAATTTCTTTTACCACCTGGCTCATGTTTCGCGCCTTGCTCCATGTTGACAAAATTTCCTCTCCGACAAGCACCAGCCACAGCCAGGAAAATCCCGTCATCTCGCCTCAGCTCCACCGCCCAGCCATGCCGCAAGTTATCTACACTCTCGACAACGCCATCGACAGCTTCTTTTCAGAGGCTGGAGCGTCGTCGTCTAAGACGCAATGCGACGAGGTTGCCCGCCAAAGGTGCGGAGGAGAGACCCGGCCCGTTAGCGTCCAAGGCTTGACTAGCTATACTGTCATTGCAGGGCCGAGGGGCAACAAGATTATCCAGTTCCGAGAGCAGACTGCCCTGCTGGACATGGACATGTGAGCGCTGGCCAAAAAGATTCACAAAAATTTCGTGGCTAGCTGTTCTGATCTCGGATGGGTTGGTAACCTAAACGGTTCACAGTTGGCAATGTACGAGATGGACAGGCTTCCTGGAGAGAATTATATCACCGCTCGCCCCTCTCTCACGCATGACCAACGGCTGAATACCGTGTACAGCCTGGCAAGGTTCGTTGAGACTGCATCTTTACCCCTCTCTAAGCGTCAACCTGCTGACATGAAATGAAGTTTCTTTGCGCAATCGTGGCAGAGGGGCACGCCAGGAGATTCGAGATTGGCCGGTGTGTCTGCTATCAGCGCCGAATTGCCACTCCAGGCTTGAATACGTAGCTGGCGCCCTCCCCGAGCGCTTCCTACCAGCCGTCACCGAAGTACAAGCCGCCCTGCCAGCTCTCCTTGACGGGTGCTATCCAGTGGTCCTCAGGCACAGCGACCTCAACGAGATGAAAATCCTGGTCGATCCCTGCAGCGGCAAGATCACAGGCGTTGCCGACTGGCCTGGCGCGAGCAACCAACCGTTTGGCTTCACCCTCTACGCGCTGGAGAACGCCCTCGGCAGCATGGGCTCGAACGGATGGAAGTGGTCCGACAACGTGGATAACCCGAGGGGCGCATTCTAGAGGGCCTTCAGGGAGCAGACTGGCTTGTCCGAGCCTCAAACGAGACTTATCAAACTTGCAGGAAAGGCCGGCATCCTCATCCGCTGCGGCACCGCCTACGACAGCGGCTTCTCGGGGATGATAGGAGTCCGAGACCCGAACGCCGAGGATTTTTAGATATCTTGATGCGCTCCTTTTCTGAGAAGCAGTTTCCCGTGTATTCGCTAGGCTACGCCTTAGCTTACGTGGTTGGAGACGGTTCTTGATCTGTGCCTAGCTAACTCTAGAGTAAGGGGACTTTTTGTTACTAGAAGATGAGATAAAAGAACTTCACTGGCCGTACGAGTCTGATTTACAGCGTAACATGCCTCTAATTCCGCCGATGTGTCGGAGAAGGATGACACGTCCGTGTACCCGATTCGGTTGTGCTATACAGCTAGTCTTCGTCGGTGATGCCGAACAGCGATTCTGTTACTCCGGCGTTTCCGTGGAGTGGTCGCCGCACTGTCAGTTGGCAGAAGAACTAATCATTCCAGCTGATTGTTTCGTTTGCGTGTTGATAATCTTCTGCTGGTGTGGCAAGTAGCGGCAGCTCAGTATTAAAAAAGGTAGTGACTAGGGAGTATGCGCCAGGATTCTCAGAGGCACTTTGCCGTGGTCACACCCTCACGAGCGAACATGAGCCGCACTTACGGGGGTTAAGGATAGTACCTTAATTCGTAGTGGCAAGATGGCACTCCTGATGGCCTTCCTTGACTTAGCTCATGTCAATGCCACTGTTATGAGAGTATACCTGAATTCTCTTCTTTCCAATGCCAGCGAAGTGTTTGAATAGATTCCACTCACGGCTCATTTTCCAATGAACATAGGCTGAAGCAACCAATCAGAGTCCACTGTCGTCTACAAAATATAATACTTCAAAAATTTTCTTATTGCATAGATTTAAGGGTACCTGTGATGCCCCAACAAATAGGCTAGCAAGAGCATCAAGCAGTCTGGACCATCCTCACTTGTGTAGCGGTCTCAGGAACGCATACTATATTGCTTTGTGGAAAGCCAAAGGATCACTAGCGGAAACGTCTGATGGCTCTACATTAAGCGTGCTGCGGTGACATGTGGCGCGGTAATGACAGACCCGGCAGATTAACGGACGAACAGACCAGACTAAACCGTGCCTAGCCCTCTGAGGCGCACACTAGGTGTGTGGGATGACAAGTTAGCACTCTCCAGCCCTCTTGGGCGCGGTTCACGATTGCAGCGTCATAACATATTATCGGGAATGTGGACGCGAGGTTATCCGGGAGCCTCTCCCCACATTAATCATCCGGCCAGGTGAGGTAGCGCGGATGTGTGGTGGGGATGTCCTTGACACCGGCGAAGGAACACAAACTCGGACCTACCTGTTGCACCCGAGTTGTCTGATGATCAATGGATCCCGGGTTGGAAGGACGGAAGGCTGGATCCCTGTGGTGCATGGCACGCCAGGAGCCATTGCGACTGGCAGATGCTTAGTTATGCGGTCGAGGAAGCCGCGTAGCCCTTGAGTCGAGTGTCGCTAGTCGTGAAACATCTCTGCTGGTGCATGGGAAGGAGGTGGCGGAGGCTGACTGATCAACGAGTATGGTGAAGGAGTAGTTAAACGTCGTCGATAGGATCAGAGACTACCGTGCCGAGGTGGCTTTGTTCTCTCTCTCTCGCGTTGTGAGACGGCTTGAAAGCTTGCCAGTCCAGCGTGGCTCAACCCTGAACCTGTTTGCCTTGGCAACACGAATGCATATGCTTAGGGCCAGGTAACTCGGCAGCTCTCGCGCATCGCGATTCGACAGCAGGGCATGCGTCCAGCTCGGGGGAGGCGCCAAGGACATTCGGTTCGCCCAATGCTGCTGATTTGACACCACTGTGATTCGCTGATGAGTTTCGCTGCCCTCTGAAATGTGTCGCCCAGGTCCCCTGTCGCCAGGCGTCTCCGAGTCGTCGGAGGTCCCTGCACTTGTCTCAGAATGCCTGGCGGGCATCCAAGCGTTTTAGCCTCGCCCTGACCGCAGGGTCGCATGGACTCGGGCATATTTCAAAATCACGATGAGCTTAATTGACCAGAGCCTGGTTGATCTGTCAAGCGAGCCGGAATTTCTGCTGTGTCGTATCCAGCTGGAAATGAACGGCTGTTGGTTTTGGGCGCAGAGAGGTCGCATGTTTGGTAGATGCAACCCTATACGGATGGGGCCCGGGACAGGACAGGGTCCACTGCGTGCCCTCCCCGAGACGCCTGACCTCCCTCTACCACGGTCGGATCCGTCTTGGCACTGCATGCGTTCATTGCCTTGTGTTTTAGCTTCTGCGCCTGGTCTGTGTCATGTATTGGATATTACCAGCTGCATTGCATGCGCCCGCCTTCACATCCTAAAACTTAGACGGTTGCTCCTTAGGGCTGGAACCTTCCTGCGTACATGACGTCTGGCGAGAATCTAATTATTCGGTGTCGGTTTTTACTTTTCTTTTCATAAGACTAGAGGATACTCTGTCGTCTGCGTATACCGGTATATACCTTGCAAGGGCTGGACTCATCTATACTTTACATCATAATTCACACCACACCACACATCGAAACTCCCTACGCCAAGTCCGAACGCACCATCATCAGCCGAGAACCAGATCTTCATGGCGATAGCCAAGAGTAGTCAGAGTCAAGGGACCTGCATATGACAAAGGCTGTTGTCCGAGGGACCTCGCCAATGGACCCCCGGAGAAATGAGCGCATCTCAACCGCCAGCAACGACGACTCGATACTTCAGTATGTCAACGACAAGAAGTCGGGAAGGAAAAGGCGCCGGCGCGCATGTCCGATTCTGATCCTACTCGCCTTGGTAATCCACTTCCTTGCATCCGGATGCGGGATCACCATCAGCGTACTCGTCGTCCGCTTCGGCCTGGAGACATCAGTCGCTGGGAGGCAGGACCTCGTGTCGAGGATCCTGCTGTTCGTTTCCAGCTGCATCGGCAATGTCTACATGCTAATGCACATATTTGCGTCGCGGGAGAAATACGTCCGGAGCCTTCAGAATGGCAGCCCGCAGATACATGGATATTTCTTCGCGGCCGTGTCTTTTTTAATCGCACGGCTCAGCTTGCCAGTCTGGATTGCGACAGTCGTCATGAACGCACTCGTCGCAGCCATGGTTGGCTTTAATCTACAGAATGGCCTCAAGGCAAATGTGGTCTGGATCCAGCTCCTGATCGCAACGGTGGCCTTGTGAGTTACCCTACTGTAACGAGTGAGACCAGTTCGACACTGACACGGCGCGCAGGTTGTCCATACTAGCCATATTAATTGTAATCGAGACCACTGACCGCCCATTCGCAACTTCAATTCTGTCGAGACGGACATTCATTTCTGCAAAGGAGCAGGGCGACCGAAAAGATACGTTTGACTTAAGCATTTCAAGGCAGGGAATTCATCCAACGGGGGATATCGAAGAGAATAAAAAAGGCGCAAGGAATACAGTAGTAGAACTACCGCGAGAATCATTCGACCGGTCTCGGATCAACACCCCAGAGTCGTCGGGCGGCGGGAGTCCTGACGGGCAGACCAACGCACCTTCATGGACGGACCGCTCCTCACGAATTGAGCAGAGAAGGAGCACGAGAAGGGACACCATGCGAGTGCGCAGCCAGGCTGTGCCCACGCCGCTTGAGACCATCTTCGGGTCGCGGGAGACGCTGCCTGATCCTCGAAACTCGCCGGGCATCAAGGGCGACTTTTCCTGGAGACCGCCGACCAGAGACTCGGAATACAACCAGAGGCCGCTAACCTCGGATTCCTTCCGCGATACTCTGCAGCCACGGAGCAATGCGGCCTCCACGGTCTTCTCGAACCTGTCTGCACTGCCTCAACCTCTGGCCACTAATCCGGTGCCCGGCACCTTTGGACCGCCAGATGAGCAAGCCAGACGGCAGTCCGTCGTGCGGCCACGCTCGTCCTCTGTACCACCAGAGGCACAATCAAAGCCCCCAGTCCAGAGGCGGCCTACACTGCCGGATCTCACCGACCTGCCCGCCCGCGCCGCAGCTCGTCGGAGGAACTCATTGATCGCCCGGGAAGCCGACTTAGACCCCCGTGCGTCTGCAGAGATCTCTCGACGTTTCAGCCTCATCGGCCAGAACAACGTCGCTCCCCCCTCGCCAAGGAACGACCTCGTCGAGGTCCCCATCCCGAACATCACGCCCCGTGAGCTCGAGACGGACGAGGACGGCATCATACCCGTGGAGTCCCACCCCCTCGCGAGGAACAACACGACGAAGTCGCGCCTCGTCCGTAACTTCTCTCGACCCAGGCGCAGGAGCACGATGGTGGGGCCCGTCGACGTCGTCATGGACGGCGACAAGGCGAGGCGCACATCCTCGTTCATCCCGGAGCCCGCACGCGAGCGCGGCCGCGGCAGGAGACAGGGAGGGGGAGGAGACGGCGTGGGAGACGACAGGCGGGCCGAGGTCCGGCGGTCCAAGTCGCTCCCGCCCGTCGCCTCCAACACCGCCGCGAGGACCAAGAGGGTCAGCCTGGTCCTGGACGAGCCGCGGTCCAAGCCGCCCACGGCCCGGCTCCCCCGGAAGCCGGTGGCCGGCCCGCGCTTCTCGCCCTTCCCCTCGACTGCCGCCGCCGCCTCGGAGCCTCGCAGGCTCAAGGGCCTGGGCCAGGGGTCGGCGCGGAGGCTGGACACGGAGGTTAAGCGCTGGGTGGAGGGCGTGCAGGCCGAGCCGAGGACTTCGAGCGACGCTGAGGCGCCGCCGTCTATTATCTCGGACGTGTCTACTGATATCCTGGACCCCGAGATTACCGCGCCGGCCAGGCGTGGGGGAAGTGGGAAGCTGAGCCGGGAGGACTCGATCCCTGGGCGGATGAGGCGCATTTCGCAGAACTTCTAAGCCACTAATTACACTGTAGAATATAGAAATGTATAAAACAAGCAATTTTGAAATAAGTCCATACTTAATGGCTGTGATGATGTGATTTGTTGTGCTCAGCGCACGTATGCCCAGGTGCTCTGCCCAAGTTGATTCACTCCATTTCTTCGTCAGTCCATATGTATTGTTGGCTTCAAAGTGGTTTTAAGATGAGTGAAACCATCCCGGGCATAAAGCAGCTGATTATCCAGGAGTTCATCTCGAGAAGTGAAAGCCTAGTCGGAAAACGCCATGGTAGGACCCCCAAATTGATCTCTCATTTGTCTCGTGCAGCACGGCTTCACATATGAGAACCTCCCGAGGCGAACCCCGAGAACGGCATCCCGATTGGAATGGAACATTCAATGATACTGTGTGCAACCTGGGAACCAATCAATGCGCCTTTGTCCCACAGTCCCGGGAGGTGGGGGATTGGGTGCGCCGCAGTATGCTTCACCATCACCCCAGCGGCTGGTTACTCAGCGTATCATCGCGAAGCTTGAGTCAAATCCTTAATCTAAGCAGCACATGGTTCCCTCCTGTGATGGAGACTGGCCCTGACCTCGATGAAACTTTAGACGATGACCTCACCGGACCCTTTGTTGATGAGCCGGGCAGGCGATTCCTTCTCCGCAAGGTTTGCAGTGTGAGCCTGCGAAGCCTATCATTGAGACTCTGTGAAGTAATGATTGATGGCTTGGCTATGGCATACACTTCCATTCAAAATCGGGTTAGGCCACGACTGAGATTGTGATACGAAGTTGTCACGTGTCAGGGGCTCCATTCTGGCGCTATTGTGCTGCTCCATTTTATTTAAATACGTGCGCCCCCGCTCCATTGTCTATAGACTAGAATAACCAGACAGTTGCCCTATTCGTCACGCCCTGCTCGGAATCGTGACAGAAGTGCATATAGGTACTCAAATGCCGGCGCGTCCTGAAGACGTGCATACCGTGACCTGCACCAGGGGGCCAGATAAGATTTTACGAACATCATTTTCTCCGAGTACTTATGTTGTCTTCACAGCTGACCCTAGATCTAACGACTCCCGGTGCTGCGTCTTTGGAGCTGTGGAAAGGATGTATCGCGAAGATGACCTCTGCGCAAGCGTGGTTGCTGAATTCTGCCCCCGCATTCACATATCAAATCTAGTACTCAATCATCTTGCTGAGTAGCGGTGTCAGGCAGCCTGTTCCTGGTCCTGAACAACATGAATAGCAGTTCTCATGCTCGTGCCTCCTTTTTGAGGGGAAATAACCAAACTACTGCTGCTCCGTGAGTCCTTCCACATTCAACTGATCAACTCGTGACCAAACCACCATGGTCATCATTCGCAGTTGGGGCTGATCACTCACGCCATGTTACTCAAAACTGAGCTTCGGCATCTTTCGGTTGTAGCTGTGTCGTGTTGTTCTCGGCTTCATGTGTCAAGACAGACAGGCGTAAATATGTGTCCTGTCGATCAAGAAACTATTGCCATAATCTCGCATCGAGTTCCCAAACTGAGATTTTCGTATTCGCGATAGTTCCTAGCAGGTGCATGATCCGAGTCAGCCGACGTTATCAGTTTCTGGTATAGGATCAGTGCATCTCATCTCCTTTATCTGCGAAAGTGGAATCGTATTCGTAAAAGAAGTGCCCAGGCGAAAGCGGGGAAAGAATTCGTGCCTTCGGGGCTAGTCACCTACCTATATTTCAACAATGCCAGGCTCGTCGGACCTCGGAGATACCTGTTGGGAATGGATTCCCATCTGATAGCAATATAATTCCCGGCAGGTGGAGGAGCGCACTAACCATATCGTGTCGTTAGACGACCGTCAATCACATCACGCCACATTTTGTAGATGGACCATGATCCTCCGAATGCGCAAAAAAAAAAAAAAGAGTGGATACAAATAGTGGAATACCTAGTCTAGGATTCAAAATGCCACGATGGAGCGCCACGGTCTTTCTCCATCCCACGGGCAGCGAGTGTCGGCTTCTTTGACGCTTTCAAGCCTCAAGCCTTAACAAAAGGCAGCCAGTCGTTGATAAACCTCACAATTGACTTCGACAGCAGGTGGTGTTCCTGCGTCCTTAATTGAAGACATGCGGTCAGCACTGCTCACCCTGTCCTTTGCAATCTCAACAACGGTGTCGGGACATTGGAACCGTCCCAAAGCTGCGCTTCACCCGAAACGTGCCAATGAATCGGACCATGATGCCAGTAAGGCGTGTGAGGAGATCAAATCCCAGATCTCAAGCGCCAGCGAGGTGATCGACGGTGTCGGTAAGTGCTGTGCCTCGGCAGACGAGGGGCCTTTGCACCACGACTGGAGGCATCTTTTGTGAGACTGGCGGCTGATAGCAATCTCAGTCGAGCTCGGCCTGACGGATGATACTCATCACTGGTTCTTTGAGTCTAACAGCGAGACGCCGACCTGTGTTGTCGAGGTTGGCTCCCCGGCCGACGTGTCAATCGCCGTAAGAAGCCCCATAAAGAATACACGAGAATGACATGGCTGATCTGTGGGCAACGAGAATACAGATGACCGCCATCGGCAATCACGCGGCGCCGTTCGCTTTGTATAGCGCGGGTCATGCGTCAAACAAGGGGTTCTCGAGCACTACCGGGGTTCACATCGCGTTGAAACGGATGAACCAGGTAGTTCTGTCCGCCGATAAATCCAGCGTCGAGATTGGCACGGGAAACGGATGGGCCGACGTGTACGACAAGCTTGATGGGACTGGAGTCAACGTTGTAGGTGGCCGAGTCAAGGGTCCTGGGGTCGGTGGGTTTACACTCGGTGGAGGGTACTCCTGGTAAGTATAATGATCCTACAGGTTTAGGTTCTGAAGGTATTTATACTAAGCTAAACCTATAGGAAAACAAACCAGTACGGCCTGACGAGCGATACTGTTTTGAAGTTCAACGTCGTTCTACCTGTGAGTCCTCTCCTTGTGGCTCGCTGTCATTTTCCAACGGTCAAGCTGACTCTCCTACCTCAGAACGGAACGATTTCCAGCGCGTCAGCAGATGAAAATCCAGATCTCTTCTTCGCACTCAAGGGCGGTCTCAACCGGTTTGCAGTGGTCACATCTGCAGTTTACCAGACCCACCCGCAGCCTGACGAAGTTTACGTGTGTCATCCCTTGTCCCAGTATTAGCCACGGACCGCTGCCGTATGCTGACAATTTCGTCCCAGGCTGGAGCCACAATCTATGGATCAGATCAGATTGACGCCCTCTTGAACGCGACCCAGGTCTTCTCTGATGTCAACACTGATCCAAAAGCCCAGATAATCACCACGATCAACGCAACGCCCGTCGGCCTTACCGCGCTAGTTCTTTTCTTCTACGATGGGCCGGATGCGGGTACGGCCTTCGAAATGTTTGACGGAGTTGATCATACAATCAGTCTTGTCAAGGCTCAGTCCTTCTCGACCTTTGTATCAACTGTTGACTCTTCTATCGTGTTGAACCCCCGTGGAACCTTCAACAGCCTGCCAACCACAAAGACAACGCCAGCCTTTCTGGCTGCGGTCAAGAATCAAGCATCAGTTAGTTACATCAAAAAAGTGGTTTGTGGAAGAGTCATTCAAGCTGATTGGATCCAGACACTGGTTGCACAGGGGCACGGTGGGTTGATATTGAGTTACGACATCGAGCCGTTCCTCAAGTACGGAGCGCATGCCACAGAGAGTGCCTACCCACACAACGATTCGCCCTTGCCCGTAAGTTTTCAAATCTCAGAATTCGTACCCATCGACTAAAAGCTTCGCAGCTTAATCTGTATTTCTCATGGAGTTTTGCCTCGGATGATCAATTTTGGAACGACGCAATGGTGAATGCGATCTCGGAGCTCAGAGAAGTCGCAAAGCAGGAGGGCATATTTGACGATTCTGCCGCCGTATACCCCAATTACGCCATCGCTGGAACCACGGCTGAGCAGCTGTATGGGTCTGTCAACGCAGCCAGGCTGAGGACAATCAAGGCCAGCGTTGATCCGGATGGTGTGATGAACTTGGCAGGGGGCTTTGATATATAAATTGAGACATGACGTACATAATCTACTCTATTATCGAGCCTCAAAGTTCTCTCGCTAATATGGAATAGCCTGTACCATGAATTTATGTCACCTACCACGAGAACATAGCTGACAACAGACTGAGCGCGGAATAAGTGACTGTTCACCTCTCCTCTTTCAATTCTTCTGCTGTATTTAAAGTCTCAAATTCTTACCGCATTCCAAAACAGTGACCATCACAATCCTTCCCTTGTCATTATGTACAAACATCTTATTACTAATTATGTGTAGAAACGAAAGCAGCCTCAATTCCCCCGTTGGAAATAAGCATCAAAACGTTCCACGACACGACGTTCCAAATCGGGGTCCTTCATCCTGCCAATCACATCATTGTCCTCGGCCTTGCGGGCAGCCACGATCCGGTCGCGCGTTTTAGTATGCAGAGAGCGGTCGATGCTCTGATATACCCCCCAGCCGGGATACGCGACGATGCCCATAGCCGCGGCCGAGACACCAGTGCCCAGACCGAGGAGCCCCCTCCCTATCCCCTTGATGGCACCCACGGCGCCATCCTGCTGTGCGCCCCGCACGGGCTCCTGCACCACGCCGGCGACCCCCTGCCCTATGCCAGTCCCAAAGTTCTTGCCCGACTCCACGAAGCCGGATTTCCAGCCAGTGGCGGGCCCGTGGTTGGCCACCTTGCCACCGTATAGCCGGGGTGCATTGCGCATACCTTCGGTGAACGCGAGGAGCATGTCGATCAGATTGCCCTTGGCGAAGTTGTGGAAAAAGGATCCCACTCCTGAGGCTACCCCGAGGGCCACTGTAGTGCTTGTAGACATGCAACCACGGCCAGAACCGCGGCTACCATTGTCTTGAGGGACGGAGACCTGAGAAGCTTGTGCCGGAGGAGAAGATGCTGGATGCGGTTCACCCGGCCCAGTAGGCAGCGCATCTGAGTCGAGATCTTTCGACTTTGGGGCTCGCAATGCTGCCACAGGCTTGGCAACAATGTCTACTGCCGAGCCCGCCATGCCCGCGTAGACTCCGACGACTGCCGAAGCTGTTCCAGTGATCGGATCCCAGCGGGAATTCTCGACGAGGATCGTGTTTGGCACGTGCCTTGGCTATTTTAGTGACGAGTCTTGCATTTGGGTGAAGGGGGTAAGTCAGGGTCTGCACATTCGGCCCACCCCCTGATTCGGCCCACTCCACACCCGCGTGCGCGTTAAGTCCACCTCATTACATATTACGCGTTTTCTTTATAATGGAATTTTCTCTTTTCTTTAAACTTTTAATATATTATTATTTATTAATTATAAAGCCATATATAAAAAAAAACATAAATATAATACTTAAGGCAATTTAAGTTAGCGCTAATATTTAAAAAGCCTCCTTATATTAAGGCATCTTAAAAATTATACTTTATAATTATTATTATAATGCTTAAAGCTATTTAAATACCTTAAAATTTTAAATAAGGTTATTATAAACTTAAAAAATATACCTATTTAATTAAGTAATTAATTAAGTAATATTAAGGCTATTAATAATATATTTTAAAATAAAATCTTTTATAGCTTAAATAACCACTTTTTAAAAATATTAATTACCTTTTAATAAGCATTAGCTAAAAGCTTTTTTTATTAAAAATCCTAAGATTTAAAGTATATAAAGCTATTAAATAACTTTAAGTTAAATAAATAAAATAAAAATAAATATAATTAAAAAGTAATTTAACCTTTTTTAATTATTAATAATTATAAATATTTATTTAAAAAATCATTATAATATTAATAAAAAGGGTATAGCTAAAAATAAAGGGAAGAATAATATTATTTTAAAACTTAAAGAAAGAAAAATTATTACTTAAAAAAGCTATAAATTATATATATAAACCTCTTTCCTTAAATACATTTTTATAATAAGTAAATCATACCCTCCCTTTATTATCTTTAAGGAAAAGTTAATTTAATAGTAATAATTTAAAACCCTTAAGGGTTATAAGAATTAAAAGTTTATAACAACGTTAAATAACTAAATAAATAATATTATAATACTTAAATAGCTGTTAGCTGGGTTACGTATTGCAATACAATGTTTGGTTGGTATAGTGGTTAATTATTGTTAACTATGAAAGGAAGGAAGGCAAAAGGCCTAACTATACTAGCTATTTTATATGCAGCGCCAAGGCTGCTGCTTATTAAGCATCCTAACGGACTAAAGCTGCCTAGTCCTAAATAATCCTCCATATAAATAACACTTATTATTCTTATATTAGCAGTTTTTATTTTATAAATATATATTATCTTTAAAAAGTATAAAAAAAGAAAGGTATTAAGTTAAATTAAACTTAAGGTTAAGAAGCACTTAATTAATTATATATATAAGTTAAATTATAAGTATATTATTATTTCACTATGCTATATTATTATAAAAGGCAAGCATATAAAAAAGCTTAAGTCGTTATTAAGAAATTAAAGGTTAATTAAGTATATATATATATTAAAATATCTTAATTATATAAAGTTAAAAAGCTTAAAAGATTATAATTATTATATAAATATTTTATTTATAATGCATTTTATAAATTTATACTTTTATTACTTATAATGCTTAAATTAAATAAAAACTAAATTAAATCCTTAAACTATTAATATAATTATTTAATCTTTAAATAATTAAAATTTCTTAATTTAACTTAGCCTAAGCTTTGCTATACTTAATACCGCTTATTAAATAAAGAAATTAAGGAATATAATTAAAAAATAAGTTATTAAAATAAAAATTAAGTAAATAAAGTTAATAAGTTATAAGAATTAATAAATAAAATATTTAAATAAAGAGAAAGTAAGATATAAAATAAAGATTATTAATTAAATTAATAAATAGCAATATTTTTAATTTTAATATATAAGTATTAAATCACGAAATTTAATTAAGAATGCTTATTAAATATAAGCTAGTAATTTAAGTATTTATAAGATAATAATAATCTTTATTACTTAAACTTTTAATATATAAGCATTATTATAAAAATCTTAAATATAAAGTTTGCTTTTAAAAGGGATATAATTTAAAGTTAGCTAATTACATTGCATTATAAGGTAATTTATAAATAATTAATAAATATAAACTAAACTTTTATACTTTTACTATGCATTACCTTTAATTAAAAAAATTATTTTATTATCCCTTATTAAAAACCTTTAATAATCTTTTTATCTTTATAATTACATAATAAACATACTTAAATTAATTATATTAATATTAATATAATAACCTTATAATATATAATATAATAATAATATTTAAGGTTATATTAATGCAATTTATTAATAAGTTATTAAACTATATTTTAATAATTTAAATTTAAGCCCTAATATATTATAATTTTCCTAACTTTTTATTATATTTAAATAATTACCTTATCTTTTTAGCTATAATTTATATAGCCCTATATTTTAATTATAATATTATTTATATTTATAAGGCATTAAAAAGTACTATTAAGGGCATTCTTTATAAAGGCATTAGTTAAATTATAATTTCCAGCAATTTAATAAATTTTAAAAATCTTATGCTTTTTATATAACTATTAAAAAGTTATAATCTTAATTATAAGGCGCTTTTTTTTATTATATTAAGCTTAATTAAGCACTTATATAAAAAGTATAAGTTAATATATATTATAAGAGGAATTATTATAATACTTAAATATATAATAATTTAACATAAAGTAATCGCTAATATTATAACTATATTAAAACTATTAATTATATTATAAATTTTTAAAGCTAAAATGCTTTAAATTACTTTTTAATACTTAATTAAAAATTAATAAATAATATTGCCTTTAATATTTTATTTAAAAGCTTATTAAGTTTATATTTTATTTATAAGTATAATAATAAAGCTAATTTATAAGCTAAGGTCCTTATTATTAACAAATAAGCTATTATTAACAAATGCAGGGAATTATATAAGAAATGATATTGCATTAAATTCCAGCTAGCTATAAAAAGCTAGCTTTTATGCTTATTTTAAATATTCTTTTAAGAAATTAACTTTTCTCTTTTCTTATATATTTAGTGCTTTAATTAAGCTTTTCTTATTTTTAAGAATTTTTAAAATATTTATCTTTTCTCTTTCTTTAGTTTTCTTTTATTTTTATCTTCCCTCTTTATTATATTAAAGCTTTTTCTTAAGTTATCCTTAAAAGGATATAATAAAATCTATTCCTTATTATTTAAGTAGCTTATTTTTATTAATAATTTAACTTAAGCTAATTTTAATTTTATATATTTTTAATTAATAATAAGAAAAATAAAAAATTAGTTATAAGTTAATTATTTATTAATTTTATCTTTTCTTTTATTTTTATATTAAATATTATTAAATTATTTTATATATTAGCTTAAAGCTTTAATTAAAGCTTATATTTATCTTTAACTTATTATAAAAAAAAGTTAAATATAATTAAACTTATAATAATATTATAAGTACTTTAAAATTATTTTTTAATTTTAAAATACTTTTTATACTTTTAATATTTAAATAAAATACTACCTTAATTATATTAATATATTATTAAGCTTTAAACTTATTTTAAATTTTTTATTAAAGATTATACTTAAAATATAGTAATAATATAAACTTAAAATTAAAATAATAAATTTAAACTTTATAAATATTACTTAATATTAATTAAAAATATTTTAAACTCTTAATTAATATTTACTATTATTATTATAATTTTAAGCTTAAAATAAAAAGAGTTATAATATAAAATTAAAATACTTATTTTATTTATTTATAAGTTTAATAAATAGCATTATATTATATATTTTTATATTAATTAAACTATATAAAAAACTTAAACTTAAAATATAACTTTATTTAAGTTTTAATATAATATTAATAAGTAAGGCATTAAATATAAATTTAAGGGCTTTTTTTATTATAGCCTTATAATTTTTATTTTTTAATAAAATATCCTTTTATTAAGTTTATTTTATTTATTATATTTATTAATACCTTTATTCTTTAAACTTTAATTTAAGTATTTTATAATAATATTAAAAATAAATTTCTTAAAAGTAATTACTTTAATTAAAGATATTATTACTTTTAAATTTCTTTATTTTATTATTATTTTAATAAAAATTATTATAATATATATATTATATTTTTAAGTTTAAAATCCTTTTAAATTTATTTTTATTTTAAAAATACCTTAAAACTTTAAAAATCATTTATTTTTTTTTATTTAAAGCTAAAAAAGAAATCTTAAGAAATATATTAAGGAAAAAAGGAAATTTAATCTTATTTATTATTAATTAAAATATTAGCTTTGCTTTAATTAAACTTTATAATTTATTATTAATAATAAATTAAGGATTTAAATTAATATTTTAAAAGTTTTACTTTTTATTAATATAATAATTTTATTATAAATAGCTTTATTTATAATTTATAATTTAAATACTTTAAAGTTTAATAAAATTAATATTATTAAGGTTTTAAATAGCCTTAAAATTATTATTTATTAATTTTTTTACTTAAATAATTAAATCTTAAAATTATTTAAGTAATATTATATTACTTTAAACTTAATAAAAGTAATTAAAAATATTATTATTAAATAATTTATTAAAAAAAATAAAAAAAAAAGCTTTTTACTTTTTATAAGTTTAATAATTAAACTTATTATATAAACTTAATTATAATTATTAAAAATATTATTTATAATAATCTTTATAATAATTTAAAAATATAAAAAGAAAAAATTATAAAATATAATTAAGAATTTAATAATATAAATAATATTTTTTTTATTATAACTTAGCCCTTTTATAAAGCGCTTTTATTATATTTAAAAAAATAATTAATAAAAAAAGAAATTACTTATAAGTTAATAAGGAATATTTTTTAATTAAACTTTAAGTATATTTTGCTAAAGATTATTAATTAAAAACTTAAGTATTTTAAATAAAATAAATATTTATTTATATAAAATAATTTTAATTAAAAT